CTGATCTTGGCACATCCCATCATCTATATGTAGTAGTTTTTGTCACTGTTGCCTGCTTTTAGACTTTGGCCTGGCCCTCTTATTTCAATATCTCAGGTATTTTATCTATCTAGTGATAAGTTCGGAGCCCAAATTAGACTGTGAAGGCTTTTTGGAAAAGGAATTTCTATGTGAAATCAATGAGTAATCTCAAATTGATGTGTATGGAAAGACTTCTTTTAACTTTTGTTACCACTTTTAATGGCTAGAAATTGAGTTGTGTGGGATTTTTAAGGGGACTATAATTACTATGGAAATTGTTGGGTTGTGTTTTTTTCATGTAAGAAGGACTTAAAATTGCATAGCTAGACTAGTAAGTTTAATTTTCCTTTGAAATACTTAAAAAGCTGTGCAGAAGCCTCAAGGCTTGACTTAACTGGCAGTTAAGCATTCCACCTTCTTCCTGAGGTTCCACCTCTGTGTTCAGGTTGATTTGAAAGGCACAGCCAGATATTGGTGGCTTCTGTCTGAAGGTGATTGTAGTCTACGGGGCAAAAGACAAACAACAATAGATCAAAGAAAGATTTACCAGGGAAGCAGAGTCTGGTTGGAGGAGCAAAGATTAGTGTGTTGGCATCACAGAAAAGGATTACAACTGTGATACAGATGAAATGATAAAATTTGGCAGCATCTGGGCAATGAGGTGTTTTTTTGTTTAGGGAGCAGCTTCTAACAGGCTTCAGAACAACTGTTGAGGGAAAGAAATGAAGCTGATATGTCAGTGCTTGAAATAAATGAGGCACACTATGGCAGGAGAAGACTGCTGTGCTCATAGGCAGAGGGCTAAAAGGGTGGTGTGGGTTCTTTTTGCTCATAGAAAATGAAGCATTTAAGGAATAAAGTATGCAGGTCACTAGTAAATTTATTTGCAGCAGTAAAATTAACTTGTCTGTATTATTCTGGTCAGTTCCTGTACAAAATTAATTTTCATGTCATTAGTTCCCTACAACATTGTCCTGTAGCAGCTGTTGATACTAGATTTGTAAAGCAAGTTTGAAATTCTAGTTGTGAATGCTTCCTGCTCATGTGCTTCTCTTTGAGTGAAAATAGATACAGAGAGCCTTTCTTTAGATGGATATTTTGGTGGTGCTAAGAGACCAGATGAAAGTAGTTCATGTTTTCGGTCTGAATGCTGGCAAAGTTTCATATGAGCAGGAGAACTTTTCAGTATCGGTGGCAAATGTTTTGTTCATCATATTCCTAACACAATAGCAATAAGACTAAGTTATTTCTATGAACACATTTGTTACAATGCCTCTAAGACACAAAATGGAAAGGGTTAAGTAAGCTTTGACAAGGCAGTATCAGGAGTAGGCACATCCTAGTAAATTAATGCTTTGCACTCCTTTGCTATAAAGGGATTAAGTGGAAATTTAGCCTTTTGTTTGCTGGTATTTGTGAATGATAGTT